TAGAACACAGGCTCCACTGAAATGCAGATGAATACCTTGTATGAAACCTGTGCTTTCCTCTTCAGGTACATCTGCTAGTTCAGGTTTTCTTCTTAAGTTCTTTATGAAGTTAGACTGGTAAGAAACTGGTTTGCGGGAGTAAGGAAGTGATCGCGCCCCTGTACTCAGCACTGGTGAGGCCACACCTCGAGTACTGTGTTCAGTTTTGGGCCTCTCACTACAGGAAAGACATTGAGGTGCTGGAGTGTGTCCAGAGAAGGGCAACGAAGCTGGTGAAGGACCTGGAGCACAAGTCCTATGAGGCGGCTGAGGGAGCTGGGGCTGTTTAGTCTAGAGAAGAGGAGGCTGAGGGGAGACCTTATCGCTCTCTACAACTACCTGAAAGGAGGTTGTAGTGAGGTGGGTGCTGGTCTCTTCTGTCAGGTGGCTGGAGATAGGATGAGAGGAAATGACCTCCAGTTGTGGAGGGGAGGTTTAGAATGGATATTAGGCAAGATTTCTTTACTGAAAAGGTTGGCAGGCATTGGAACAGGCTACTCGGGGAAGTGGTGGAGTCACCATCCCTTTAGGTATTTAAAATACACGTAGATATGGCACTTAGGGACATGGTTTAGTGGTGGACTTGGCATTGTCAGGTTTACAGTTGGACTTGATGATCTTAAAGGTCTTTTCCAACCTATATTGTTCTGTGATTCTATTCTAAGTGTTTAACGATTCTTATAGGCACCAAAGGGGAAATATCTGTTCTCAGGGACAGTCTTGGAACTTCTTTTGTCCCACAGAAATATAGATACAGTACCTCCTACAGGCTTTCTAGTTACAAAGAGCTTTCACTTTACATAGGAAGTATGGAATTTTAGAAAAATAGGACTTTGCGGGTGTGGGGGTTGCAAAGCTTTGGAATAAGAGAATTTTTGTATGACAGTGTATTGCACCATTGTGATGTTTTTGCTGTATAACTTTTTCAGTATACAAAAGCATTCACTTTTTCATTATATTTGTGTTAGGCATTTTCATTTGGTGTTTGCGCTCACTGTCCGTAAACTCTGATACCTTGTAAAATAATCATTACTGCTACCCCAGACCTGCAAATTGAAAATGCCCAAACTTTCTATTTCATACATTTTTTAAATGTTAAGCAACTGAGTCACTAGAAGTTGAATACAAAAACACCTTGAGAGGCTTTTGCTAATGTATCACACCCTGAATTACTGTGCTTTGAAACTGCAACTTTAACCTTTACAGGGCAGAATTATTTCTTGTTTTGAAGCTTGCTGAAGCACAATGAACAGAGTAAGCTTAAAAGGAAAATATAATTGTAACATTAGAAGGGAGGTCTAGGAAGAATTCTGGACTCAGAACATTTGTTCTAACTACATTTAGGTCAGTATTTTCGGGGGGGGGGGTTGTATTTATTCCAGATAGTTATTTGTCAAGGTCCAACTGAAGTGTCCAACTTCATTCAGTCATTTCTGTGATGCCAAGGTTTGACATGATACAAGCTCTGGAGGTCTGTTGATTTCAGAAAACAGTGATTGAATAATGGCATTCATAGTGGAAATATTTTACCTTTTAAAAACAAAATTACACAGACTTTTATGAACATTTGTTTATCCTTGGTTACCCAGTTTTCCAAGTGCTTAAGTAACTATCAACTAATTCTTCATCTCCAGAGAAACAGATAGCAGTTGAATTTCTTTGGAGCAATGCACCTTCTTTTTCCATCTGTTGAGGAGCCATTTGAATGAGAACCTAATTCAGTGAAGCCCTGCAATAGCTTGTCATAGCTGCCTAGCTAGATTACTCTATTGCACATGATGGCAAAGTGTTCTTCTGAAGTGTTCATATCTGAAACAGTGAGAACTATTTTAAATTTTTATTATATTTAGTTATCCTCCTATTCTGGGCAACTCTCACAACCAAAATTTTCAGCCCTCTCAGTCTCTTGCTCAGAGAATGTAGGTAACATAGAAAATAGGCACTTTACAGCAATTCCGGAGTGTTTTACAGTTTTTTGAAGTCTTTTTCTGTTAGTAATTTAATTTCAGGTTTTCAATTTAAGTGGCTGCTGGGAGGCTTCTGTGGGGGAGGGATGGAAGCTGTCAGTGGATGACCTGCTAAGTTTCCAGTGGCTTTGAGCTTCTTTCCCAATGCTAGGGAGCAGTGCTTTAAAGAAAAATTGTTCCTATTCAGCTATGGTTTACAGTCTGAACATTCAAAGGATAAGCAGCACATTATTATGTGTAAATTGTGAAGTGTATCACTTTAGGTAAGCTTTTAATTGCAGTTGGTTTTCTGAGCATACCTTTTCTGAAGGTAGATGTATTGTTAAGAACTGTTCTGGTCATCAAGCGGCATAGTAGCTCAATGGGCATGAGACACCAGAGCCATTACCAGTCAGAGTAAAGGCTTAAGTACCAGAAATGGAAAACTGCTAATTGTATAAAATATTTATTGATAAGTATCTACTGCTTCTTTTCTCTGATTCATTTTAAAGGCACAATAAGAGCAAGACTATGCTTCTATGTAAATATTTTCTTATTCAATAAATCCTCTGGAGGAGCTGGAATGATGGCAATGGTGAGGGGGAAATTCTGGGGAAAGGTCTTTTCCTGGAGACATCTGCAATGTCTTGAATTATATCCATCCCACAGGCTGACAGCTGCAAGCAGCAGGCACAAAGTGCTCAACAGAGCAGCACATTTAACAGTTTACTTTGGGGGACGGTATTAATAAATGAATGATCATTTTACCTTCAAATAGTAACTTTGTATTGAGGGCTCCCAAATGGTAATTTAATATAGCTGAATGTCTTTAGGTTTTATTAGCTTCTTAAGCAGTTAGAAACTGAAGTGGCAATATCCATTCCTCGGACATAAAAGTAGCAGGTATGAGCCATGAAAGTAGTCATCAGTTGTTCTGTATTCAGTCTGGCCTACTGATGGACAGATTTTTCGTAAGACCTGAAATACCCCCAAAATGCAACTGGTTAATACGCAAAAGGTCAACAGATAACTGATGCCTAGGACATAGACGTTTGGAGCCTATTCTGGTAATGGTGATGTAGGAAAGCTCTAGTTTGAGCATTAATTTCTTGGAGTTTTTAAGATGTTAGCCAAATTTACATCTTTCTCACAGAAGAAGGGGAGGATTGCTGGTTCATCACCTGCCATGGCGTCAGGCACTGGAACAAACTTTCTTCCTTCTCTGGAATAAAGGGAAAAAACCTGTTTGTGGAGTATGTTGTTATATCCGTGGTTCCTTACCCAACGGGCCACTCTCACCTACCAACATCCTCTTGATTTGTTTTACCTAGTTTTTTCCCTATCTTCAGCTTTCTTGGAGACTGTTTGCAAGCAGTGCTTAAGAAATAGGCTGACCTTCATTGACCACATTCAGTATTACTGGTGTCCTCAACCTCTAGCAAATCTTAGGGTTAGAATTCAGGCACTTACTGAAAAGAAGACCTGATTTAAACAGGAGGTTTTTTGAAATGCAGTGGGCTGGGGGGATTTTTCTCCAGTCTGAAAAAGCAGATTATCACTCTACTCACTGCTCTGATCATGACCAGTGCTGAGTGCTTGGGTACTTTTGCTTCCTTTTGAAGATAAGGGAGTAAACTTGTCACCCTGCACCTCACAGGTAGCTTTCCATTAACAAAATCTGTCCCTACAGTCAAAAGGAGATGCTTACAAGACCCTAGTTCTGCTGAGACAATCAGGCAAAAGTTTCAAGAAGCAACACTAATCTATATGCTTTTGCAAGGCTTGATGCCTCAGACATATGAATCCACATTTAAAACTGCAAGGCTTTCATCCACATCAGTGGATCCAGGACCCAGAACTACCACCAGTGGAGCTTTTTCATGTTAGCAGTTTAAAGTTGCATCCAAGCAATGTTCCAACAAGCCCTGTGTCTACTAATAGTGGAGGAGTCTGCCTAACTTCATGCTACCTTAGGAATAAAATTGGCCCTGCATTTCAAAGCAGCAATCCTTTTGTTTTTCTGAATAATTGCAGTTCTACTATCAATGAATTCTTTTATTCTTTCACGCATCAGAAGGATTTGGATTCTCCGGTTTTGGCTTTTTGTTTTTCACCCTCATGGAGTTAGAATTCCCTTTGCTTGATATAGCACCAGCACCCACAGACTGCACCAGCACCCATAGTAGGAAGATGGGAAAAAAAGTGCATAAGAACTGCAGCAGACATGGTCTGGCTCTTACCAAAACAGACTGCCAAAATGTCAAAGACATGGTTGGCTGATCTATTTCACTGCTGCCTCCTCTCTCCACTGTAGCCACAAACCACCTGGGTACTTCAGAGACACCAGTTGAGAAATGGGTCCTATTAATATCAATGAGACTTTGACTTCTGTGTGACATTAAGCAGTTAAGCTTTCCTGAATTGAGATATGTCTTCCTGCCTTCACAGGTCATGGGGACAAAATGGTGATTCTTTACTTCCCAAGAGCATTCTTAATGATTCCTGAAGTTAATTCTTAATGATTTTTCTCTTAACTTGCAAGTAATGGCACAGATCATGTGTTGGGTAAAACATAGTCATGTATGCTGATACCTAGAAGGTGAGGAGATTTTAAGGCTTATGCCACTCTCTATCTTAAAAATACTTGTTTGCATAAATATATGCTGCTGAGCAGATATATTACTGTGGACACACGACTGGCTGTTAGCTGGTATCAGAAAGAGAAAAACCACAGTCATCTTAATGCTGACAAATTTCCAGATGGGTTGGAAGAGAAAAGATTAGAAGGGGGGAAAATTCGAGTCTTCCGGTTAGTTCCTAGATCAGTTCCAAAAGAGAAGAGAAAAGATCCATTGTGCATTTTGCGCATAAAGTTTTACTTTTCCTTGATGTATAAAACATCAGCTGGTTTCAGTCCAGGATCAGAATGCTTACACAATAAGACAGTTTTAATTGGTCATTTCAGTTTAAATTGGCTAGAGTTACAATGTTAATTGAATTGTTTTCCCTTTGCAGGGACCTGAGGGGCCTCCAGGACAAAAGGTATAGTATAAACAACAATACTGTGAAAGTGATTATTCCTCCTGGTGCCAAATTGCTAGCAGAAAAGGTGAATGGAATTAGCTACTGTACACCGCATTAAATCAGTTAGTTTAGGCTCTGAATTTTGTTTTTGCAAAATGCAGCCATATGATGTGAGACATCAGATTTCTCATTTCCCCCATCATAGGAAGTTCAAGCAATGTAGAGCAGACTGTTTTCAATCTGTCTGCTTAACTTTCAGGTGAAAAGGTCACTATAATTTTCTTGTTCATGCACTGGTACCACTAGGAAACCAAAGTTAAAACCTTGTGAAAGGTGGGGAGATAGAGTTTCTGATTAAATGCATGTCCTTTCTCAAGTAGATCAGTGCCATATGACTAAAAAATTGACCAGCAGAAACAAAGGACCTAGGTGTTGCTGATAAATGGTGCTTGGTTGGCGGTGTTCAGGTGGTCTGCTGGTGTCTTCCTGTTCCTTCGGTAACCTGAGACCTGACTTCCTGGGAACGCTTTCAGCATTATTTACGCTCATTAAAGCTGACTGCCTCAGTTTGATGGAGTGAGTTTAGGATTTATGGAATTACACCATTAAACCAGTCCTAGATACATCAGCAATAACAGCTAGTAAGTGGCACTTTTCCAGCATCTCGCCCACGCACTACCAAGGCAAGTCATTTTCTAGTTGATTTCAAAAGATTAAAAAGTTGTATGGAAGATATTTAATAAAACAGGCTTAATTTGTATAAAGAAAAAAGAAAGAGGAAAGGCCTAAGTAGTATTAACGTATGGGAGAGGGCTGTCACCTCTGTTTTTCTTCTTCTGAGATAATATTCTTTAAGGTGAAGGTTTGCTTGCATCTGTTCAAATGGAACTTTTTGAAGAAAAGAAAGAAAAACCTGCTGCTGTGTAAAAATGTAATCCCAAAGCGTAAGAATTGGTGGAATTTTGTCTGCTGTGAGCTGTACAGAGTTTGCAGGCTGAAGGAGAGGACTACCCTTCATGTTTGGCAATGAAGGAATACAGCATTGTAAAGCTGTACTAATGTCTAAGTTGCCATTATAAAATTATACCCTAAAGCTCGGGGAGGAGGGTATTTTACATGTACAGCATCAGCTAAACCCATGTGCTGATGAGCTTTTGAATATATGGTAAACTTTTACATGGAATGGTAGAATCAGCTTTATTTACACTTTCTAACATCCTGTGTCTCGTAAGTTATAAATAGGATAGTTTATCGAGGCTGATGGTTTAATGCCCTCCTGAGCTTTGTCTTCTAGTTTTCTGGAAGAATTATACAAAGATGTGAAAATGCTCACTAGAGCCCCTTTGCAGTGGCTAGCAGTCATGACCATGCATCCAGCAAAAAGAAGCAACAGGAATGCCAAAGTGGAAGCTTTGGGAGTAAGGGGAGAGCATTTTGGGTCATGGAGATACGCTGGGATGCCATTGTATTATTTCTTACTGATTTGCAGCTCTGTTATGAGCTGGAGCCTCCTGGGCATTCAAATGTTGGAGGTTTTTTGAGGCCCTCATGACTTGCTTCCTTTCCTTTTCTTATTTCACAGGATTTCACAATTCTATTCATTGACAAACATGTGCATCCATTCCGGATGCATTCCCTTTGGGTGCTGGTGCCCTTTGGGTAAACCATTTCTAGAGAAACCTCTAACCAATATGAATAGAGGGGGAAATGTCATGCACTGATTCTTGGGATGGAGAGAAAGCAGGGCATGAAGGGATTCACAGGGTGCTTATTTGTTTTAAGAGTCCTGGGAAACTGCACATTTCACTGTCAACAAAGCCTCTGCCTTTCCCAGTCCCCTGGCCTCTTTTTAGGGTGCCAGCCCTTCAAAAAGCTATCACATTTTTGTATGCTGATAAAGTGTTTATAAATGAAAAATAAAAATAATGCTTTCAGTTTCCTTGCTGAGCAACACCATTATTATATAAAAAGAGGAGAACACTGTGTAAGCATATGCAGTTTTCCTGGTTTCTTCATGCCTCAGGTTTTCACTGAACATCTGCAGCAAGTCGCACAAGTTCCTTCAAAAAAATCGTCCATCTTACAGAAACTTAGTGTAAGAGCTTTGTAAAAAGATTCCTCCAATGTTACAGGTCAATGCTAATATTTGGCTTTCCTTCTTTGTCTGGCCTGTGTTGGTGTTTAAATTTTGATTGCAGTAATACTGATGCAATTTAAAAGGGTATCTGTAATTTGCACTGTCAGGCTGAATTGTTGCAGATTATCTCTTAAAAGCTCTAAAATAGATTGGTGCTACCAGTTATTGAGCTTGAAGCATCACTCTTGAAGCATTAATCGTTTTGTTCAGGTGCTATGTTCGATTGTGTAGGATCAGTCTTAAAATTTACTGAAAGCATAAAATGGAATTGCATTTTAATTCTCACATTTCTTCTGAAGCATTCACAATATTACAAAGCAACCATCAGCTTGAAGTTTGTTTCTGGAAGAGGCTGTACAGTGGGACAGTCATTAAAATGTACAACATGAGAACATGTGTGATTAGTATAAAATCTCAACTGAAAAGAAATCTTAGCTTGGATAAAAATTAGTTTTTGAAAAATTTATTGCAGTTACAATAAGCAAGCATTCACCATCATTTCTAAGGTACTGTATTAAGAGATGAAAGGTTTCACGACCTGTTTAATTTGCTAAACACTGGCGTCTGTTTCCCACCAGGGTTCTGTCGGAGTGCCTGGTGTTCCAGGGAGAGACGGACAAGTGGTGAGTTCACTGACTTTGTCAGCACTGGCATTATTTATGTCGTTGATTAAAGCTACTTAGGGCTTGTTCACATGAGCAATGTGCAACCTTACATCCAGAGCTGTGGTTTCAAATTGGCTTCATGGAAAAGACTGTACAATCTGGTTTGTGCTCTGAAGTAATTTTTTATAGTTTTACTTGAACAGGCAGCAAATGTAAATTAATTAAGCTGGAAGTCTGATGTTCAGATTTGATGATGACTGATAGGTTCCAGAGAGAAATGCGTATTAGTGGTGTGCAACTTTAGACAGTATATTTACAAACTAAGTTTTTCTGCAGATTTTTTTTTTACTTTTTGTTAACTGAGTCCTATGATACAAACACTTATGTTGATACTGGGTATTTGTACAGTGCCAATACATTGTTAATACAACTATAGAGAATAAAAAGAGAGTGGAAACACAGGTGGACAATAATGTGAAAGTGAAGTTGGTGACAAAAATGCAGAGAAATAAATCAAACAGATATGTTCTTGAACACAACCAGGATGAAATGCTAACTCAGGCAAGTCAGTGTCGTCTTTCAGTGCCGTCACCAAGTTAACTCACAGTTCAGAACAGCCCTCCATAAGGAGAGGTCACAGTAAAGTAGCAGGGCTGTTTCACAGCATTGCTAAGGTTTGTTGGCAAATCTGGGTGGTGAAGTTTAAATAATATCCCTCCCTGACTGTAAACAGTATTATCCATCTGTTCTAACAAGCACTAACATTCTTAGTGAACGTCAAAAGCACTTGCAGGGAATACCAAAAGGAAAATGTATGATACAGGTTGTTCACCATGTTTAAGCAGCAATAGATGGTAGTGTATAAGGATCATGTTATAGAATCCCTTCTTCTGCCTCCCTCCCCAAGAGCCCTAGGAATAAAAGCTCTAAAGTGTTTCAAATAATTTAATTTAATTCCTCTTTCCTAACAAAAGAGATGTATTGTTTCTAATAGCATAAAATACAGTATTAGACCTGTGTTTTGACAGTGGTTATAAGAAATGATGTAATAATCAGTTATTTCACTTTAGTGATAATGCTAGGAACCTATTTTTAAAATATTCAGAGTATTATGACTACTGTGGAACAACAAAAGAAAAAATATTTAAAATTAGCTATATATAACAAACAAGAAATTATGAGAAAATATTATGAAACAAATTTGCATTAAGACCTGAGATTTTTTCCTTCATATTTTATAGCTGCATTCAATTGCAACATGAATGGTAGACAGTACTCGCCAACACAGATGCTGTTGCTGTACATAATGCAAGTAATTTTTGTGACCAAAGTATGAGTGAAAAGCCAGTGAAGACACACTTTGTAGCATGATTTTCTTTGGATGTGCAGGAAGATGTAGGAAGACTGGACAGGATGAAGTTGCAAACCACATTGAATAGAATAGAACTGATGGTTCACATTTTATCCAAGAGCTTTACTTTTAATAGCATCATCACACAAACTCTAGCCAGAAATCTTCACTCAGATGAGCACAAAAAAATGGATGTTGATGAAATAAGTCAAATGTGCAAAACTTATCTGATGATTAAAGTGTCATTTTGGGACATGTGGAATTTTTTTAAGCTGTATTGGCAAGGTTGTTGTATGTCTATTTTTTGGAGGCCCATGACTTACCTGCAGTCATGTTTCATGGGGAAGAAAGGACTTATGCAATTGCCTTTGATTAAAGGAAAATGCAAACAGATCTTTAAATGCTGTTTATCAACTTTAAGTTGTGCTTTAAAACCAGCTCCTAGCTTTTTCAATTTATGGTTTTATGTTTATTTGATTTATTTCAATATTTATGACATCTAAAAATTTGAAGACATTCTTAAATTATTACCACTTTAATAAAGACATCAGCATATTTTTAGTGTAGCTGGACTATTTTACTTTTGACTTTTAAGAAAAGAAAAAATTAACTACTAAACTAAAATCTAGATACCAGGACAAAAACCATACAAATAAAAATGAAATGTGGTCACATTCTTTTTTTTGTTTTCACAATCATTGGTTGATATTGACTAGCAAGCACTTCCTTATGTGCAGAAAATATATTATTTTCATGTAATACTAAGCAGATGAGAAGTTGAATATTGATATCTCTTTTAATAAATAGATAACAAATTCTGCTAGCTTGGAAATAATGGCAGAAATAAGTTAAACTGAAGCAGTATTTATTTAAAGTTAGAAAGTACAGTGGTGCGGCCTAGGACTCCCATGCTAATATTTTGCTACCAAACGGTCCATTCTTCCAATTTCTATGAAAAAACAGATTCTCAGTGCAGTGTGACACAGAAGATATTGTTGAATGAAGACCAGAGCAGTAATTTTAAGAGCTGGGCTGTACTATGAGCTGGCTGCTGGCACTCCTGGCTTTACTCATACAGATTCATCTTGATTTGCAGAATAGTTGAACTCGACTTGAATGTGTGATGCAAGTCATCCCCTTTTAGAAGTTACGTAGTTAAAAGGCTTTACAAAAGCCTTACTGTCTTGCTAGCCTTTTAATCAGTGAGCTCGCTCTGTCAAACAGCAGCATGTGCAGTGCACTAAGTTCCAAGTTAATATTTTTTCTTAGTTTAAAAGGCAGTGAGTGTTAAGCACATGCTTAAAATTAAGTGTGTGTGTATGAATGCTTTCCTCATCTGGACAATGAAATATTTTTCAGCCGATGAATGTCAGCAGTGAATTAGCTTCACTCCCTCCTTAAGCAATTGAATAATACAGAGTTAGGTCATCTCCATCTTATTTGTGTCTCTGTAATTTTCCTTTTCCTTTCCCTTCACCTCTTCTTTAATTGAAATAGTGGATTGTGGGAGACGATTGACAAGTCTGACCAATAGGTCTGGGAATGAGATCATAAATTCTGAGTGCACTTAGAACAATTTTCTAATCCCTTAACATATGAACCACTTCTCTTAGACAATCACTAGATATTACAGTAAGTGTAATTTTACATGACCCACATGTTTTTGCAGAACTGCTAACTTGTAGATTTTTCTTGTGTTAAGAGTAGCAGCAAAATCATTGCCATAAAAGCTTCACACATTTTTTTCTTTTAGGCCAAATGCAATGAAGCATTACAGGTAGTCTTGCAAGGGCATTTACATTCTTTGTTTGTTCCTGCATCTGGGAAACTACAGCCACACTCTGCTTAGCTTGTTGAGAACAGTAACTGGAAAGGAGCTGCCTAATAATACCTTTGCAGCTAGAGAGAGTGTTGTCCCTGGGATGGACAGAAACCTTCTGAGATAGCAAGGAGTCTTTCTCAGTGCTCCCTTTCCTTTGCAGACTGTTGTGCAATCCACCTGTAGCAGGTCGCTTCCTAGTAAGATGCTACGGGAGATAACCTTCCCTTTCTCCATCCCTGGCAAGAGGTCCTCAGGCACTCAAACAGTACGAAAAAGGATTATACCTGCATGGAGATATGAGGTTGCAGTGATCTAGGGCTAGCAGATCCCTACAATAATCATGTTGAAATGGCCACAAAGCGGTTCTTAGAAAGTTCAGCTATGCAAGTATGGACTACATATTCTCATATTTGTTAAGTGGTACTGATTTGATAAGGACTCCCAGTGACTGCAGCAACAACACAAGGAGAAAAGGGCAGGTTCCCTAAGTAAGGATTGCATTTGGCCTGAAGGAACCCCCTTTCTGGAGTCTGTGCAACTAAGTCTTTTTGTTTTAAATAAGAGTTTGTCTGGAGTGCATAAACCCCCTCACTCTATACTTCCATGGAATGGTTTTTCTTACGTAGTACTTGTATTTTGGGGTTTCTTTTTTGTAAGGGTGTATTGAGAACAGAATGCGTGGTCAGGACCGTTCCCTTCATTTCACATTGTTTCAGTAGTTTGACAATAACAATTTGATAAACCTCAGAAGAGTTTCCCTTCTTATCAGTAGACTTAGTCTGGGTGTGCACATTTCATATTGCTTTCTTCATGCTTCTTATTACTCTGATTTACATGTTTTCCCCATCAGTGTGTACTGTACTATGTAGGGGACACATTTTGAAAGTAGTATTATCACATTTCTTTAGAGAAATGAGGAAGGGTATGCGTGTATTAACATTTTTTTTCAAATATAGAAGTATGAAGGAAGGAAACATCATTAAATGTAGTTCACAAATTCTCAGACAGATTTGCAGGCCAGCTGAGTCTTGTTGAAGAGTCTTTCCACTTAATTTCAGCTGGTGAGTGGTCCAGGAGAGATTTCCAGTCCTTAAACAAACAATTTTAAGTTACTTTTGAGGGGGGTGAAAAGCAAGTTGAAAGGAGGTAATTCAACGCTGGTTTGAAATGGAAATCACAGTAACATGTCTGAGAAACCACTTTTTCCCCTTCTGTCCTCATTTATGTATTTCAGAGTAAAACTAGACTGGATTAGGTTTGGGGGCCTCTTGTATTTCCTTATCCTTAAAATTGATTACATTCTAGTGACTGAAAAATATAGCAATACTGACAGCCTTTCTTCTCAGGGTGAAGTGGATATCAACCAGCTGGTGTAGGCAGTTATGAATCTCACCAAAACCAAACCTATTTCAGAACAGCAGCCTCCAGGCTGTTTTTCTGTTACAAACAAGAAAAGCTGGGGCCTCCAGCCACATTATTTTTAGCTGATTAATTCTGGATATGAAGGTACATGCCTCCAGGGCACAGAGCACTCCAGTAAGGAGAAGCATGCTTTCAACTGCCTTGACTCCTTTGATATGGACTCAAGTGGGTGATACATTTTCAGACCTGTTCTGAAGTATGTTTTATGAGTTCATATTGACAGATTTTTCTCATATTAGCAGCAGAGCCCCAGCAGTGCTCTACATATTTGAGTGCTCATCAAATTCAGATTCACTTCAGTGTAAGCATTAAGACTGCCACTACCGTGAGAGTATCTGAGGAAATTACTACATCTATTTATTGGGCGGGGTGCTGAAGGATGTTCTTTGCCCAAATATAGGAAAGACAGAAACATTCTATCAA